GAGACGTTGACAGTACCTATATTACTTTCATGGCCCAGTTCAAACGCTGTTCGATTTCCCGTCTGAGAACGCCAGGTCTTCAAAATGCAGCTTGATGACAACGACGTCATCCAGAGAAATACCCATCGTCTCGCACCACTTATCCACCATTGAGTCCTCAACATGTTCAGGTTTTGCGGGAAGCTTCAAGATTTCGCAGAATTTTTTGAGTTTCCGACAAACAGCCTTGTGTGGGGCATGACCATACTTCCATGCGCTCTTCTGGCATTCCGGGGAACAATACGGCACCCTACGACACCCGCCGCAATATTGAAGCTTTTGTCCTTTGCTCGACACTGTCTGTGAGCACCCTACGGCGTGGCATCTATCCCTGACCGAGATTGTCCGTACGGCATCGTACGCAGAAGCGAAAGGAGATCGCTCGAGAGAGACAGGAACGTTCTCCCGTTGTCTTCTCAGCGTGTTGAGGATCAGAGGGTGGTATTTTTGGGCATCTTCGGGTAAGGAGAACATCCGCATGAGAACAGCAGCAATGTCCTGGAGATGCAGCTCCTTGATAGCGCTTCTAAGCTCCAGATTGCGCGTCTGCTGTTCGATACAAAGCGCTTTGCTAAGTAGTTCCACGATTTTACCAGCGCCCGGCATCCAGAAACACAGGACGCGCAGGACGTCTTCCTTCTGCGCAGGAGCGTCGCTTTCCTTCATCATCAGCATCGTCTGCTTCAGGAGATCACTCAAACTCTGCAAAGACGATATATGATCGTTCCCATATCGGCCAGCCCCAAGCTCGGTTAGATGTTCATCAAAAACAGCTATGAACTGGCCGGGAAAGTCGGGCATCTCGAAGAAGTGGGGAATGAATGTACTTTCCGCCGTCATGCAGAGCATATTGAGCCAGCTTATAACAGTGGGAACGCGAGAGATATAGAACCACTGCCAGATCATCCGTACAGTGATACCCGCACCTTCGACGAAATAATCTGATGGCTTGACGGGCCAAAGAACATCGCGACCTTTGCGCTCGAGCTTTTGTGCTTGCCGTGGTAAGCGTTTGAGATACGGTACATCCAATGGTTGTACACCGCCAGGCGTGAGGAAAGTGTGGCATAGAATACCAACCATTGTACGCAGAACTTCCTCCATCTTCCCTCGCGCCGCCGGGTCGGAGGTATATCGGTTGGGACAAAAGGAATGGGCCAAGAGAAATTGCTTGCTTTTCAAAGTGCACTTGCATGTCTCTATTGATTTATAAAGACTGACAGCCTCTTCATGTGTGCGTGCGACGGTAAGGAAACGATTCATGGAGTCCCAAAAGTCATGCCGGGATGCCCTCAGGGTTTGAAGAACCTCAGAGGCAGCGATAATTGTAAGACTCGAGGCATAGAATTGGCCACAAAAAGCCGGATGTTTGGGGTCCTTCAAAGAGTCAACGAACAAGTCGACTATTGCATTTGTTGTCTCAAAGTCCGCCATTCTAATCATGCACCATGCCTTGAGCAACCTGCATCCCGTAGCTTTAGTAAATTAAACGTACTTACTAATTTCTTTATATCGGAGAAAAATAATTGAGTAGATCGCGGAGCTCAGCAATTTGCAGCGTCGTCGTAGGTTAGAAAAAGATCCCCTTATGAATACGTCGTGTGCACGCTGAATGCGGCATACCGGTCCGAGAGCCGACTCTCCGTCGTGACTTTCACCACTACGACGCACCCTTTACATCGGATACCGGCGCACTTTTTGAGGCATGCTGCAGGAAATAAAAGCACTATATCACTGCGAACGTGCCTACTCCAGTCCGAGGATGTTGAATCGCCGACTGTGGCCTATATTCAAAATGCCAGGCGAGTCGTGACAACATGAGAATCTGATGAACTCTTACTACTTCTAGTACCCAGGCGAGCCTGCTCATATACACCATTAATATAGGAAGCCATTTTATCAACTCAGCGCCCGCGATACATCCACCATATGCCGCACCACGCCTGACCATCACAGTGGACTCCTGCAGTTTGGCTGGTTCAGATGTCGATACCAGACTTCAACACGACAGAGGTTATTGTCGCCTGGGATATGCGGTACTCCCCCCAAATCTCTCTTGGTTTGCTAACCGACAAAGAACTCCAATTCGAACCCTTAGCTAAAGCATAAATAGGCGTCGGTAACGCGACAGTGCCGAAGTTCACGCGTTGCCGCAGAACCGTGTCACTAAATCACAATACGCACGCTGAACATCAATTATTACATGCTCTCCCTCTCACAGGTTTGACTTATGACATGCTTCAGTGGTTCTTTTCCAATGTTTCTCCAGAACGATGGTTAGCAATTTACTCCCTTAGGTCCCCAATTTCTGACCTGATCACACACGTGAGTCTTTTCTCAGTCTGTTCCTTCCCATATGCGCAGTTAAATTACTTCTAGCCCATATATCCTCACAGTTTCTTCATAAATGAAGAGCGTAGACCTCGCCAAAATAGTGGGGGGAGTCTCTTTCTTTGATTTCCTTTAAGAGAACAAGCTCTAAAATCCTTATTCTCGTGACCCTTCTATTCTTCAAGCATCTTCTGGTATCTAGTATCCACAAATTTGAATGTTGAAAGCCCACTGGGACAGTTTTCCTATTTGTGGTCTTGGTCTACTGCGGAGGTCCACCTGGCGAATTACGCAAGGCGGAGGGTGGAGCAGATGGATTTGGGCACAACTATGCCCTCCAGATGCACAAATTTTCCGTGGCGAGTGCATCAAGCTTGCGTTGCCAAGGAGGGGCGGTGAGTATTCCCCCGAGAGCAATGCGAACACGTTTGTTTCTCGGGTTAACCGCTCGAGTATCAGGTTTACCGTTCACGCCTAATCGAAAGATGATAGTTTGCTGATAGCCATAGCTAGGGACAAAAACGTATTTGCCGACAGACTTCTGCGATGGCGTGAGTCCTGTATACGTTCTTCAAGGAAAATAAACCAAAATAATCTACCTAGATGTAGCTCGTCGTCATGGCCCTCGGCCAATCCGACGATAGTTGGCATGTGAGAACGACCGGACACGAGCCCCGGGCCCGCTCCATATTCTTCGGTGTATGTACCATCATTGCTCCACGAGCTCAATTTCTTGGACTCAGGCACATCTGGTCAAACGAGCAATTTTCGCCTTTCGTGGTTCCTTCAGTTGCAATCGCAATTCTAGCAATACGGCACCCGACGGAAAATCCAAGGGCGACTTCCGCTATCCCTCGAGCTTGTTTCTATCGGATACGTTCTTGTTATACCTGTTGCAAGCCTCAGAGCGACGCTATTCCGGTAGCTTTTTTCCTTTATGCATTGACACCACCGTAACCAACAAAACACACCACTATTAGGTCACTCCGGAACTCCAATCGCAACCACCTGCTTCTGTTACGCGCCGCCGACCTGCGTCGGAATAAGTTCGCGCAATACGAAAGGGTTTCGGCTGCCCGTTGCTATACGACATATCTTGGTAGAAACCCCAGGCTTGTATAAAAACTCGCCAAAATGCCTCTACCAACACCAGTCCTATTTCTTCATCGCCGTCTTACTTCTCACTCAGTATTCTTAGACAATGAAGGTCGCTTTCACTTTCGCTTCTCTCGCCCTTCTTTCTGGCTTCCAAGCCGCCTCTGCGCATTGTGCGTTGACTGTCTCTCATTCTTTCCGTTCGCGTCTTTGACAACAATGAGACAGATATCTGGACGACTCTTGTCGCTGGCGACACAGTCTCCAATGCGGCGGTTCGCCAGCCTCAGAGCAACTCCCCCGTCCTGGATGTGACTTCTGGTTTGCACATCTCTCTCTTCAACGGTATCTCGACTGACCCATTTCTAGACGATATAACATGCAACGTCAGCCCAGCCGATGCCACTGCGACCGTCTCCGTTGCTGCTGGTGACATTATTGGATTCCAACTGGACAACACCATCTACCATCAAGGCCCTGCTGCGCTTTACCTTGGCAAGGCTCCTTCGACTGCTGCCGACTGGGATGGAAGTGGTGCCAACTGGTTCAAGGTTGGTTATATTTCTTCTTTTCGGTCCATCTCCGACTCATGAAGCTATAGATCGCTGAATGGGGAGCGGAATTCGAACCTTCCTTCGCCTTCGTTGACTACGGTGCCAGCGCCCTCAACGCTACTATCCCTTCCAGCGTTCCTGCTGGTGAAGTGAGTCCCTTCCTCTGCTTACTAGGTACATCATTCTTACCTGTGGTTATTAGTACCTTGCCCGTATTGAGCAGGTGAGTCTTCTATCCAAGTCAACATCGCGGGAAAGCTAAGTTCATACTAGATCGGTCTCCATTCAACGGGAGCGCCTCAATGGTATATATCTTGCGCGCAGATCTCCATTACGAACGGAGGATCGGCTAGCCCCGACACGGTTAAGATTCCCGGATACGTAGACGCCGATGGTGAGTCTATACTATCGGGAGCGACCGCCCGCTGATCTGTGTGCCTGTTACAGATGCCGGACTCACCGTTAGTGAGTTTTCAGCCTAACGCTCGTCTTGAAACAGGAGTCGCTAACCTAGTTCTAGACATTTATTACCCTACGCCTACGGCTTATACGGTGAGCAGTCTGGACCCAGTTAGTCCCAAATCTAGCGCTAAGTTGCTACGTTTCAGGTTCCTGGACCGACCGTTTTCTCAGGATAAATCGTGATCGAATTACATTCCCATAGATTGTGCGCTTTCTCTCTATTTCTCACCCACTTAAAACTCAGTTCTTTCTGCGCAGTTTCTTGGTGGAAGATAGGCGGTTAATTTAAGATTCGAGCTTTGATGGCTCCAAACCGTTTCTGCTACGTCGCGTACACGTGTGCTACGTAGATGTATTTATGAAGGACGCATATTGACTTCAGTAAACAATCGTTTGCAGCGTGCGAGATTCCAACAACGTCTGATTGTGAACCCAAGGCATTAGGAAATTTCACCGCTCATCATGTTGGACTCCTTGTTGCATCAGAGAGTATTATGGTACTGAATCTTTCTGTATATATCTCTGGTAGTATATCGGTTAGTACACGCGCCTGTCATTTACTGTAAAGTTATCCGCGCGCGAAAGCTGGGCCCGACTCCCAGCCAGAGAGAAAGCTGGTTATTTTTGACTTTGCTACGTTCCCGAGCCGGGGCCGGGTCATCTTTTTGAGTTTACCGCGCCTGGCGCCAAGACTCCAGATCTAAAGACCTTCACAGTGATAAAGTGGTATAGCTTAGATCGACGAACTTAAATTTAGGTGGCCTCAGGATGCTGTTGTATCGAACAAGTATCGAAACTGACGTAGTCTATAGTAAAATTCGTGGATTTTCCCGGGGCTGTGTCATGGAGGACTGACCAAGTGCCGTGTTTCCCCTATAGCGAGTTCACGAGATAACAGTGGAAGCGACACCATTCAAGTAAAATCCGAGTACAGATTTCCCGGAGAGAGGTAACTAGTCAACTCTGAGATATTCTTACACGATATCAAGGTTCAAAACCGCTTCAAGACAAGCGTACATTGCGCAGTTCCACTAACGAGAGAAGAAGTTAAAAGGACAAGACGCTGGGGTATTGATTACTGCAGGAGCTACTTGATTTGGGTCGTAGTATAGATTCTAACCAGCACTAAGCACCGCGACACGTAGCAGAGAGTTGGCGAGGCATCTCTTAATCTGGATGGAGAGAAGACCTTTGGCATCCAAAAGTATTAGCCCAGTCAACGTTTCGCTGGTTCTGACCAGACTTGAGGACAGGTGAGTCGCTGCAATGGGACAGAAAACGAAAGCTCAGCTGGTAGGAGCTCTATTTTGATGGGCAGAGAGTTCGGTAACCGACACTGCTGCCTTCATACTGAAATGTACAAGTCAATTATTATATGAGATAGGAATGATAATTGTGACTTTCTGCCCTGCGGCGGGAATCTAAATTCAAGCCAAAAGCCAAAAGAAAAACTCTGCTACGAGCCTTCTCGCATCGACCTACGAATCGTGAGCTGGACTCACATTCTGGTAGCGCGCAAAAGTTCCGGCACGAGGACCTGCAGAGAAAGTCGCAGAAGGCTCGGAAATGATAGTCAAGTCGATAGTGTAACGTCCGCAGAAGGAAAGGTAGGTATAAAAGGTTCACGACACGCAGTGGAACTACAGTGCCCGGTGCTCGGTGCAACGTGGATAAGCGCCTGGGAGTCCGAACCGTTTGGGGGGTGCATCTATAATCGAATACGTAAGAAGGTGTCATTTCACATCTTCGCATGACAAAGAATCACGGATGAATTCATCCGACTCGAAGCCTAGTTTGTAATGTTAGTTGGTGTAAGCAAACTTGAAACCACTTTCTTTGGCTTCGGCCCTCGAGCGGAGGCACGGTTTGCAGAAAAATGATACGCCGATAGTCGAGATGCCGATCTATGATTAGATAGCCCTCAAGTCCGGAGGTACCAGTTGGAGTGCTCGGTGAACCCCAGGACAAGCCGCAAGCGGGAATGCGCAACTTGAAGAAATGTGAGCACGACACGCACTTGAGAGTTGCTTGAGAGCTATAAAATTGATGTAAAATTTGAGTTCTGAGGACGCGAAGTACTCACCGATTACGGACCTTTAATGAGAAGAGCTGGTTCCGGGTCGCCAGTGCAGTAACCTCAAGTTAAGTACATATACAAGCCGAGGGAATTTGCAATTGAAGGACGCGTTATTTGCTGTTATTTGCTTCTATTTCCTGGTTGCTTCATGCAGAACAAGCGGTTACGCCTCCTGGACTATACTCGAACCAAGCACCGAGGAAGGATCTGCTGCGATTCGTCTTGAATACTGGTTTCTGTTGGCCAAGGCTACCGCACGGCCTCATTGCCAAACGACGTAAACCACTGCACAACCGGAGATACCCTGGAAGATAGTTTACGGCAGGGAATAGTACGATGGAGAGCACGAATGAGTCTTGCATATCTTCCTCAGAGTGTTGAGTGCTATTCAAATGTTTTCTTCTTTAGTTCTCACTTCCGTGCAGATCCCAAGGCGTAGCCTGCTTGAAGGATGGCAGCAAGGTGGATATTTTTCAATGCCCGCTTGTCCAGCACCTCGGCCTCAGCGCTCAGTACTTCAGGGATGTTTCAAATAACACCGTCTGAATGGAAGTTCTTACTATGGCGTGTACGTTAGTCCCACACGCCTGCCGGTCAAGAAGGCTACCGGTAAGGAAACTCCTTTATCTACGGACCTTTTCTCTTCTGCTGACAATGCACAGGTGTGTGTTAGTCTCGAAGCGGGGGCTCGGTGCTCGGAAAATACGACATTCGCGCACTCATCATGTCGACAGACTTGATACTATGGGAATACCCTACTGCAGATCATATAAATTCAAATGAAGTGACCCCGATTTTGTCATTAACTTCGCTATGTCACTACCGGCTCCCCAAGGCGTCTCCTCTCCAACCTTCAATGCTCCTCCGCTTGATGGATCTCTAACGTTCCCAGAATTACTCGACTATAATGCCCTTCATAGCGCTAAGCATCCATTGTTTCGTTACGACGACCTCGACAACGGTGGATTTCGTACCATCTCTTGGGAGGAGGGCGTCGCCGCCGTCCATACCGCTGGACACTACTTCAAGAAATACATCCATGGCGAAGCTCCCGTCACCGTTGGTATTTTAGCCAATACCAGTGAGTGTATCCACGCGCCCCTCATAGAGTGAACCCTCTCAACGTGCTCTCCAGATTCGATCACTTACTTTGCAGTAATCACTGGCTTGATGCGTCTCGGGTTCACTCCTTTCCCCATTTCACCACGTAACTCTGCTGCTGCCGTTGCCCACCTTCTCAAGTCCACGAACTGCAGACATCTGGTCCTTGGTCAGGACGTATCCTTGCAGAAAGTGGCGGACACGGTTTGTCATCAATTCTGGGAGGCTGACGTCGACAATAAGATAACGACTATTCCGATGCCCCACTTCAGTGATTTCTTTTCTACAAAGCCAGGATCATACGAGGCGCTTCCTCCTGTGCGCCCTGATTGGTCGCAAACGGCACTCATTATGCATTCATCAGGGACAACCCGTTTTCCCAGTCCCATCTACGCCACGCACAAGCACATGTTGCACCATGCGGTGAGACCGTGTAGGCGTATTCAGATTTTTACTTTTGTTCGAACTCAACGTTTGGTAGATTATGGGGATATGGATCTATGTGGCCAAGTACATGGATCCCAGGCAACTCCTATGTATCGTTAGTGTCCACGCCATATATACCCTCGGTTACTAAAATGTTGATGTCACATTTCAGATATCATGGGTTTTGTATCCATCACCAATTCGGTGTGTAACTCCGGTAATTTCCCATCTACTTGCTCACATCACTAATATCTGTCGCCTAGGCCGCAACTGGCACTATTATGGCTTGCTTCCCGCCGGTAGAGCCACCAGTGGTACCAACGGCTGAACGTGTTCTAGCAAGTGTAATCAACACCGGAACAACCACGGTCATCACCATTCCTTCGTTCTTGGCGGTATGGGACCGTTTTTTGAATATCACACTGCATCGCTAACATGTGTCATAGGAATGGGCCGGCAATCCGCAGGCCGTCGAGGTTCTGAAAGCTGCCGATACAGTTGTAGGTCATTGTCTTATAGCCGGATAGCCGACGCTCACGTCCCTTGAGATTTATGGTAGCGGTCCTCTAGATAAGGACGCCGGTGATTCTCTCGTCGCAAACGGCGTCTTTCTACTCTCTGTCTATGGACTGTGAGCCCATTATATCTTCTGGACGACTATAGAATGCTTATGTCGTTTATAGCACTGAATCTACAGTGTCTATGGTCATGCCTAGTACGTTCATTGCTCCTTTCCCTGCTACAGCCCGATTTACCTACCAAATAGACAGTATTCCTGCCGAAGGATGGGAGTGGATGAGGGTAAGCGTCTCCCAATATCATTGATCATTCACTGTAACACACGCCGTAGGTGGCAAGAAACGTCGATGCCGCTTTTATACCGACAGACGAGCAAGATATCTACCGTTTGTACGTCAAGGTAAGTTAGTATTGGCTGGCGCCTCACATATGCAATTAACCGTGCAACACATTAGGATGGTCCATTACACTCGCCTGCAGTCCTCGACTCTGAAATCGACGGTGTCAAAGCCTTCGACACGAAAGACTTGGTGCAATTGCATCCCTCGAACCGGAGTTTATTCAAGGTCTATGGACGCGCTGGTGAGGCGATTCTTTCAGCTATCAGAAACGAGACTCAGACCAGTTTCTAGATGAGCAGATTATGCACAGTACAGGGGTTAGTCTTTGTGTATATCCGTAAGATTCTGACCTCATTATAGTCTTTCATTTGATAGGAGAAAGTGAGGATGTTTGTTGTACTTTCAGACGCTCGTACTAAATATGTTATGTAGACAAACCCTGTCCCGATCGGTGAGCAGGCAATGATACGTATAGGTTTGCGCTAACCCGACTGAATGTAGAGGCTGGCCTAGTCACGGATAAGCGTATAGCGGCAGCCATGATGTTTGGTCGTTCCAAATTTCAGCCAGGCGTCCTCATTCTGCCTACTCCGGAGGAAGCTTTTGACCCGACTGATACTGTGCGGCTAGCCGAATACCGAGCTAGCATCTGGTAAGCCCTCGTTATTGTTCTCGAATTTCGCTCATTCTCCAATTTATAGGGATACTATTACGAAAGTCAATGAGCAGGCACCCCAGCATTCTCGAATCTACAAGGAGGTGGGCCTGCTTTCTCAGTCATCCAGCGTCATTCGTTAATTCTTTTTGAAGATGATCATTATTGCGAATCCGGCAAAGCCTTTTGAGTTCACTGTAAAAGGAACTCTGCGACGCAAGGCCGTGTTAAAAGCGTACGAACAAGAAATTGAGGCTTTATACAAGACTGTCGACGAAGTGTCGCATGCGGATGTCGTTATTCCGCAGCTATGGACTTTGAAGAACGTCATGACCATGGTTAGGGATATCGTTGCGGCAGTCTTCGAGCGGAAGATAGGCGACGCCGAGGATATCTTCTTAGCGGGAGGTGATAGGTATGCTACTAGGTTCGCTTGCCATTCGCCTACTAATTCTCTGGATCTGTAGTCTAACAGCAACGTCCATACGAAA